CATTCCATTGCCTTCCTCTTCCGCCGCCATTCCTGCCTCGCCCCTTTCCTCCACCCCTTCCTTCACTGCCTTTATTGCCCTGCCCCTGGTTCCCACCTCCTACAACACTGCCCTGTGAACTGGGATCAGGTGACGGTGGCGGGGCCACAGGTTGGGCCTGGGCCGCGGGGTAGATGGGTGGTGGCATACTCGTTTGCGGTCCGGCTACTGGCAGCGTACTTCCCCATGGCACAATTGCGTTGATCACCGGCCAGGGCCACTGTCCATAGGAGGGCGCCCCACCTTGCGAGGGGCCCGTACTAGATGATGGAGCCGCCACATTTAAAGGGGCTGCTGCCTGGGCTTGATGCGCCTGCGCTTTTCCTGATCCCTGTCCGCCCTGCGCCAAATTACGCACTTTGCGCTGGACCTTCGTCAGGTGCTGCGGCACGGGCTCTTCCTCTTCCCATAGCTCCTCCTGACCAACCTCCTCTATCACTGGCTCTTTTCCTTTTACTTTAACAGCCGTCACCACCCTCCTTTGCACCACTGGCTCTGTCACATACCCTAGCTGTGCCAATACGTCTGTAACAATCCTTGTTACTCCTGGGGTCCCAAAAGCGGTCGCATCTCTTTCCTTTCTCTTCTGCCTTTGCAGGCGTACCTGACGTTGTTCCACCTGGTCCAAGCACCCAACTTCCACCCCTCTGTCAATGGTGGCCCAGGTGAGCTTAGTGCTACCTCCTCCATGTCTCGTCAACTCGACGGCCTCCAATGCTGTGAGTAGCCCCAGGAAGAAGGCGCACTGTGCTTCCTCCGAAATCCCATGGACCTTCCGCGCCTTCTTCTTAAATTCTTGAACAAAGACCCCTATAGTCGTAAAATCCTCTTTGTTCATCGCTTCAAGGTCCGTGGTAGTCAACAACCCGTCTCCCAGGCGGTATTTCCTCTGCATCCCCTCCTTGAACCTTTCCCAGCTACCTTGAGCCGCATCTATGACTTTCTTCACCTCCTTATGGTAGCTGTGGAGAACATACTGAAGGATGCATTGAAACTTTACAACATCCGGCCGCCCGACCAAAGCTTGTTCCACCCGCTCTAGCCATTCTGAGACTCTCTCCCCACAAAAATGGAAAGTATCGCCCTTTGGGATGTTGCTCGGGTTCCTTTCATGTTGGTCGATGGCCGCGATGAGGTCATCGAGTGTCAGACCCTTCTTGGGAACAACTGATGCGCCGCCAGTCTCAGGCATCTTGACAGCCTCTTCTTTTTAAGTTCCCTGGCAAAAGAAAACAAGCACATCCCCTTTATTCAACACTATACCTTAACCGGTCTATTCCATCCGTCCTACCTAACCCTTAGTACTTACTTTACCCAATGTTAACACGATCGTCCCTCATACTTCCTCTACTTGGGTAGGTAAATTTTCTCACCTACATTTAGTCATTCAAATATTCCTTCATTATCTTCTCATCACTCCTTTATGCCTTTTCTTATTCACTTCTCATACCCGGATGTCGTTCCACCAGGGACAACGGTAGGCTTTCCATTATCCCCGGCAACGACGCCACCTTGTCGGGCGCATCGGTCCGGCACCACACGGGGGCAGCGCGGGACCCTCCCGGCCGCGTCACGCAGGAGTTGGTCTTTAAAACCTTTCGTCGCAATATACATGGAGCTTCCACAAGCCGCTCCGGCCGGGTGCGCCAGCCATACCTCTCGCGAGCCCCTACGACAGGATAGGGCCTACGCGAGGCACGACTTACCTACACCTTACGGGAGTTGTCACCTCCCTTCGGTGGGCGTATCCCCGTCGAGCTACCAGTCCACAGTACGAAAGCTAATCAGTTGCAATCGCAGAGGTGGACCAGCCAAGGGTGTTTCTCGTTCGCTGTAGCATAGGGAGTACGCGCGGTAATACGCCTCTATCGGCCCCGCATACGAACCGACATCTTGGGGGGGCTGAGGTCCCAAGCGCGACTCATCGTCGGTCGACTAGGACGCATCCCACACACCACGCGCACTCCACTTTACGAACACACATACACACAAAACAACATATATAAGAAACGACACAATATCAACGACGCGACAACGCTCCTAGCCCCTCGGTAGCCAACCCATAACTTTCCAGTACGGAACTCGGATAGGCGTCGCGTGCTGAACTTAGTATAAAACCGCGCGGACGCAAGACATACTTATATCGATTTGCAATGCAGGCGTACACAAGCAGACGCAACGATGACGTACTATGTAGTGCCTATAATCAAGCGGTCCCTCGTGAATCCGAGTACTGCTTATGACACTCAAGTGTCAGACCTGAAGTGTTGTGAGGGCCTAACCCTTCACGACATTGCACGGCTGAAGGAACATTCGTGCAGCCGCCGCTGCACCTTAGGCTCTCGACCTGAGTGTCTCGGTAGGCAAATCAAATAGGCTCTTCGCGAGGGAAAACCCCTCCCCTGCAGAGCCTAGGGCTTGGGATGTCCTGGACAAGGACCTCGAATCCCGGCTCAGGACCAAACGTCCGACTAAGAAAATCATAAAAAAGCAAGAGACAAGAATAAAAGGAGAGACCTCCCCTAAGCCCCTCAGTCTCAGCTTTTGAGTGGGGCTTTAATGTTAAGGGCTCTTCAACCCATACAAACATTCATCCCAAGTATACCCATGTATACATATATAAGGGTTTAATATGTGACGATCACTTTTCATGGTTTCGCTGAGGTCTCTCACAATAATACGTATATGTGTGATTGTAGGCAACCAAATCCAGAATCTGATTCATAGCACATACCTGCCATCACATCAACGAACCAAATCAACAGCCCACACACTACACGAAGTCAACCCCAACCACCTTCGACACTCATACCCCTCGCTTTAGCCATGCAAGCCCCAAACCTCATGTCCAACCAACCTTAATTAAATACTCAGCATCTTTGTTAAATGACCATTCAATAAAAATCTGGGTAAAAACCTTAATAAAAGCACGAAAATCACCAGGGCTAAAGCCTTTTAGATTGAGTGTAGAGGGAAAGTTGAAATTGAGTCGTAGACCGACGAATCGGCAACCGACCTGTTATCAATGATAACAGTAAGTGATCCTCAAGGGATCAAGCTGGATCTAGCCGTGAACTTGGATCAAATGATCAAAAAGACCTGTAATACACGGCAGACTAATCCCCAAGCTAAGATCATAAGTGTATGGAGAATACAACTCCATAATACATCCTCACTCAAAACTTCCTTATTAGCTAAATCTGAGTCTACTTTTAAGTCAGTGCTTAAGCTGAAGGCAGACCAACTGCAAAAATCTCCCCTATTCTGGGTGGATTGCCTGAATCTCCTATTAAAATATAATCTATCTCCTCTAAACTAAGAAAATTTTGGCA